TGTTTTATTATATATATATATATATATATATATATATATATATATATATATTAAAACTATCGATTTGTTTATCGATTATGCTTTTCATAAAATCTCATATTCGCGATGACATACGATGAGACGAAATTATCAATGTGTTTGCAATTAATCATACAACAATGAATAGCGCATTTTCGAAAGCTGCATCGGTATTACACGAGATTGATATCGTTCCGATGCGGTATGCAGAGAACCGTCGCGAAGATTCCGTCCGCGTTACGTACGAGCGCACGCTTCTGCGCTCGCTGGGCGAGACGGCGCGTCCGGCGGATTGGCGGAGCGGCCGCCAGGGGCGCCCCGCTCGGGAGCGTCGTTCTTTGTTTCGGTTTGGAGCGCAGTCTCCGTCCGACGAAGAGCGCAGTGCCCGGCTGACGAAAATTCGCAGCACGCGGCAACGAGAGGAGCGCGAGGGGACGGAACGACGGGACCGAGAGAGGCGTCTATTCGAGAGCACGCCCGGGTGAACGGCGCGACTCGCGCGGAAGGAATGTTTTCGGATGTGGACGCGCGAGATCGCATTGCCGCGAGAACAATCGAATCGAATCGGATCGGCTCGCTCCCTCTGTAAATAAGCGGCGCGGCTGTGCTCGCGAGTGAGTGTGCAAAGTGTGCGCGGGAGAAGAAAGGAGAGGGAACGGAAGAGCGAGAGGAGTGAAGCGCGGAGTCAGGCATCGCGGGGGTAGACGAGTAGGAGAAAGAAGAAGAGGAGGAGGAGATATCGGAAGTGTCGAAGTGACGAAGGGCGCGTGTGTGACAGCGGTAGTCTCGACTTTTCCATCTTCCTTCCGGTTCCTTTCGCCGTCTTTTTTCCTCTACATTCGCTGGTGCGTCGCTCTCGTACCGAGAGGTGCGTGCGTCGTGCGTGCGCGAGGTGATACTGTAACTGTCTATCTCTCTTTCTCTCTCCCTCATTCTTTCTCTTCGGTGTCGTGCGCGCGTTTGCGCCGCGATTCGCATTGTTTGGCCGGCGGTGGTACAACGTTGCTCGCGCACGACTCCGTTTCTGTTCGGTTTGTCGCGCGACAGAGGAAGAAAGAAGAAGAAAAAGAAGAAAAGTGTAAGCATATCAAACGAGAAGGATCGCCCACGTCGTCGACGACACCGACAGTCCGTCGACGAGCACGAGGCAAGCGCGAGGAGGATCGAAGAGACGAGACGAAAACGCGAGACGGCGGCGTTCGGGGGTGGGGTAACAGTGCCGCCGCTGACGTCCTTGTATCCGTGCGATTCGTTCGTCCGTGTGGTCGTCGTCGTCGATCGCCGCCGCCGCCACTGCCGCCGCCGCCGCCGCCGCCGCCGCCTTTGGTGTTCAGCGCGCCGCGACGGGGGTTGCCGACACCGCCACCGCCACTGTCGTATCACCATCGATTGCCGGCCACCGATCCGCCGGGTACAACAGTAGTGCGCGCGTAGTGACAACGACGTCGACGACGCGGAGACGTAAGGGAAGAAGAAGAGAAAAGTGCCACCGCGTGCCGTCGTCCGCGAGTTTTCCGTGTTACGTGCTACCGTCAGTGTATTACCACGGGGTTAACGGTGAATCTCTCGGAGGTGACGCACCGCGCCGACGACGCCGCTGCTGCCGCCGCCGCCGTCGTCGCCGCCGCGACCTTGGAGACAGTGGAGAGTTTCGGTATCGGTTACGGCCAGGGAGCGGGCGAGAGCACAGGCAACTGGATGAAACCGCCGGGGAATCTGTTTCTCTACCCCACGCTAGACATGAAGGATCTCACGGGATCCGTGGAGGACATGGTATTGTCATAATAATCACCGTCATTATTTATCGTCATCGCGGAGTAAATCGATTTTATTTAGCATCTGATTCGATATCGTGCGGCACTTGGAAAACCGCGCCCGCCTCGCCGCGACGCGCCAGGCCGCACCGCGCCGTGGCGTCGCGTCGCGTCGCGTCGCGTCGCATCGCCTGGCCAGGCTTGGCTTAGCCTAGCCCTAGCTTGTCCGTCTGCCCTCGCGTCCCGTCGCCTCCGGCTGGCGGTTAACGTTTATAGGTTATGTTTGCCGCGCGCGGCCAACGAACGCCGACCGAGAATACGGCGTACTCTTTGTGCGCGCCCGTAGATCCGTTCCTCCTCTCTCGGCCGCATCCTCTTTGTTCCCGATTCTTTTCCCTTCCGTTATTTTTCCTCCGACGACGTATGCGATATGTTTTTACGACGCGCACGCACGTCCCTCCTCGCCTCGAGAGAACGCGTAGGAGGCGTAGCGTAACGCCGCGTGTTTACGTTACATGCGGTTTTATAGTAATTGCTCGAACGATGAAAAAGCTACTTTACGATCGATTCGATGCAGATCCAGCCATGGATGCCGCTCTCGTTGACGGCACTTTTATATACCTCGTTCGTTTCGAATACAGTGAACGATTAATACGGAAAAATACATACGGGATATACACACGAATTAAATTGCACGGGGAAATGTTCCATAAACTTTTCTACTTAAACGCACAAAAAAATTTCATCTAAATTTAAACGATCTTGCGCTTTTTCCGCT